CATGTAAGTCTCAACTAGGTTTTGATAACTGTTGACGCTATGATGTTCCGTGTTTCACTTGACTTCTGTGATTTCAACCCTTTTCTACTGATATCCTGAATGTAGTGTGTTTTCTATTTCAGGTTGTGATGGCGATGGTGTCGAATCAGTCGTGTGCAGGTGTGTGTTCGTGTGTGTTTCGGGTAAGTGGAGGAAATGATGAGACACCTCTTGAATGACTTGTGAATGATTTGTTATTCTTTTCTGAATTAGTTGATATTCTTCGTACGAGAGATTGATTGTGGTACTGTTGTGTGTTTTTCTTCAGGTTTGAAGAGTGAATAAATGGTGTTTCCTGTGATTGAAAGCTGTGAGATGCAACGTTGAGTAGTGTGTATTGGACCGTGCAGGAGTTTTGCTACCTCTGGCTGGGTGAGTACTTGTTTGTCTTGTAGATGATGTCATCCAGTTCTGCTATTGATTATTATAATGAAACGAACGATTTTACCCTGATTCGCTTAACCTTGTACTAAGTGAGTTTTGTTCTTCTCTTCCAGTGAGTGAGGAAGGCGAGAATTGGAGTGGCGAGACTGTTGCGATCTGTGTGTGGAGTGTAACGATTCGGGAGTGTGAAGTATCCGTTTGACATCGGAGATGCCTGGTAAGTTGTCACGGAGAGGATTTTGAATGCTATGTAATGATGAGTTGATTTTTGGACTGGTGTCCGCAATCGCCCCTAACTGAGATATTGGCTAACCTATTTGCTTTTATATTTCAGGTTTGGTTGCGATTGTACTTGTATGAAGCCTGGCACTGCTTTCTTCACATTCTCTGGATCGGATCAGTCGTGCGAGATGAGATGAGATATAGGGTGAGTTGACTATCTTTTCTCGTTACATGATGTTGCATAGTTCACATGATCTAGATGATTCGACGTATATTTCCTGATTACTGTTTGCTAATGAAATGCATGTTGACTGACTGTTTCAGGACTTCGTTTGTGGGGGTGGGAGGTGTGAATTTCTTTACTTGAAGACCTTCGTCATGGCAATGTCGCAGACTCTGAATCATGTAAGTCTCAACTAGGTTTTGATAACTGTTGACGCTATGATGTTCCGTGTTTCACTTGACTTCTGTGATTTGAACCCTTTTCTACTGATATCCTGAATGTAGTCTGTTTTCTATTTCAGGTTGTGATGGCGATGGTGTCGAATCAGTCGTGTGCAGGTGTGTGTTCGTGTGTGTTTCGGGTAAGTGGAGGAAATGATGAGACACCTCTTGAATGACTTGTGAATGATTTGTTATTCTTTTCTGAATTAGTTGGTATTCTTCGTACGAGAGATTGATTGTGGTACTGTTGTGTGTTTTTCAGGTTTGAAGAGTGAATAAATGGTGTTTCCTGTGATTGAAAGCTGTGAGATGCATCGTTGAGTTGTGTGTATTGGATCGTGCGGGAGTTTTGCTACCTCTGGCTGGGTGAGTACTTGTTTGTCTTGTAGATGATGTCATCCAGTTCTGCTATTGATTATTATAATGAAACGAACGATTTTACCCTGATTCGCTTAACCTTGTACTAAGTGAGTTTTGTTCTTCTCTTCCAGTGAGTGAGGAAGGCGAGAATTGGAGTGGCGAGACTGTTGCGATCTGTGTGTGGAGTGTAACGATTCGGGAGTGTGAAGTATCCGTTTGACATCGGAGATGCCTGGTAAGTTGTCACGGAGAGGATTTTGAATGCTATGTAATGATGAGTTGATTTTTGGACTGGTGTCCGCAATCGCCCCTAACTGAGATATTGGCTAACCTATTTGCTTTTATATTTCAGGTTTGGTTGCGATTGTACTTGTATGAAGCCTGGCACTGCTTTCTTCACATTCTCTGGATCGGATCAGTCGTGCGAGATGAGATGAGATATAGGGTGAGTTGACTATCTTTTCTCGTTACATGATGTTGCATAGTTCACATGATCTAGATGATTCGACGTATATTTCCTGATTACTGTTTGCTAATGAAATGCATGTTGACTGACTGTTTCAGGACTTCGTTTGTGGGGGTGGGAGGTGTGAATTTCTTTACTTGAAGACCTTCGTCATGGCAATGTCGCAGACTCTGAATCATGTAAGTCTCAACTAGGTTTTGATAACTGTTGACGCTATGATGTTCCGTGTTTCACTTGACTTCTGTGATTTCAACCCTTTTCTACTGATATCCTGAATGTAGTCTGTTTTCTATTTCAGGTTGTGATGGCGATGGTGTCGAATCAGTCGTGTGCAGGTGTGTGTTCGTGTGTGTTTCGGGTAAGTGGAGGAAATGATGAGACACCTCTTGAATGACTTGTGAATGATTTGTTATTCTTTTCTGAATTAGTTGATATTCTTCGTACGAGAGATTGATTGTGGTACTGTTGTGTGTTTTTCTTCAGGTTTGAAGAGTGAATAAATGGTGTTTCCTGTGATTGAAAGCTGTGAGATGCATCGTTGAGTTGTGTGTATTGGATCGTGCGGGAGTTTTGCTACCTCTGGCTGGGTGAGTACTTGTTTGTCTTGTAGATGATGTCATCCAGTTCTGCTATTGATTATTATAATGAAACGAACGATTTTACCCTGATTCGCTTAACCTTGTACTAAGTGAGTTTTGTTCTTCTCTTCCAGTGAGTGAGGAAGGCGAGAATTGGAGTGGCGAGACTGTTGCGATCTGTGTGTGGAGTGTAACGATTCGGGAGTGTGAAGTATCCGTTTGACATCGGAGATGCCTGGTAAGTTGTCACGGAGAGGATTTTGAATGCTATGTAATGATGAGTTGATTTTTGGACTGGTGTCCGCAATCGCCCCTAACTGAGATATTGGCTAACCTATTTGCTTTTATATTTCAGGTTTGGTTGCGATTGTACTTGTATGAAGCCTGGCACTGCTTTCTTCACATTCTCTGGATCGGATCAGTCGTGCGAGATGAGATGAGATATAGGGTGAGTTGACTATCTTTTCTCGTTACATGATGTTGCATAGTTCACATGATCTAGATGATTCGACGTATATTTCCTGATTACTGTTTGCTAATGAAATGCATGTTGACTGACTGTTTCAGGACTTCGTTTGTGGGGGTGGGAGGTGTGAATTTCTGTACTTTCTGATCTTCGTCATGGCAGTGTCGCAGACTTTGAATCATGTAAGTCTCAACTAGGTTTTGATAACTGTTGACGCTATGATGTTCCGTGTTTCACTTGACTTCTGTGATTTGAACCCTTTTCTACTGATATCCTGAATGTAGTCTGTTTTCTATTTCAGGTTGTGATGGCGATGGTGTCGAATCAGTCGTGTGCAGGTGTGTGTTCGTGTGTGTTTCGGGTAAGTGGAGGAAATGATGAGACACCTCTTGAATGACTTGTGAATGATTTGTTATTCTTTTCTGAATTAGTTGATATTCTTCGTACGAGAGATTGATTGTGGTACTGTTGTGTGTTTTTCAGGTTTGAAGAGTGAATAAATGGTGTTTCCTGTGATTGAAAGCTGTGAGATGCATCGTTGAGTTGTGTGTATTGGATCGTGCAGGAGTTTTGCTACCTCTGGCTGGGTGAGTACTTGTTTGTCTTGTAGATGATGTCATCCAGTTCTGCTATTGATTATTATAATGAAACGAACGATTTTACCCTGATTCGCTTAACCTTGTACTAAGTGAGTTTTGTTCTTCTCTTCCAGTGAGTGAGGAAGGCGAGAATTGGAGTGGCGAGACTGTTGCGATCTGTGTGTGGAGTGTAACGATTCGGGAGTGTGAAGTATCCGTTTGACATCGGAGATGCCTGGTAAGTTGTCACGGAGAGGATTTTGAATGCTATGTAATGATGAGTTGATTTTTGGACTGGTGTCCGCAATCGCCCCTAACTGAGATATTGGCTAACCTATTTGCTTTTATATTTCAGGTTTGGTTGCGATTGTACTTGTATGAAGCCTGGCACTGCTTTCTTCACATTCTCTGGATCGGATCAGTCGTGCGAGATGAGATGAGATATAGGGTGAGTTGACTATCTTTTCTCGTTACATGATGTTGCATAGTTCACATGATCTAGATGATTCGACGTATATTTCCTGATTACTGTTTGCTAATGAAATGCATGTTGACTGACTGTTTCAGGACTTCGTTTGTGGGGGTGGGAGGTGTGAATTTCTTTACTTGAAGACCTTCGTCATGGCAATGTCGCAGACTCTGAATCATGTAAGTCTCAACTAGGTTTTGATAACTGTTGACGCTATGATGTTCCGTGTTTCACTTGACTTCTGTGATTTCAACCCTTTTCTACTGATATCCTGAATGTAGTCTGTTTTCTATTTCAGGTTGTGATGGCGATGGTGTCGAATCAGTCGTGTGCAGGTGTGTGTTCGTGTGTGTTTCGGGTAAGTGGAGGAAATGATGAGACACCTCTTGAATGACTTGTGAATGATTTGTTATTCTTTTCTGAATTAGTTGATATTCTTCGTACGAGAGATTGATTGTGGTACTGTTGTGTGTTTTTCTTCAGGTTTGAAGAGTGAATAAATGGTGTTTCCTGTGATTGAAAGCTGTGAGATGCAACGTTGAGTAGTGTGTATTGGACCGTGCAGGAGTTTTGCTACCTCTGGCTGGGTGAGTACTTGTTTGTCTTGTAGATGATGTCATCCAGTTCTGCTATTGATTATTATAATGAAACGAACGATTTTACCCTGATTCGCTTAACCTTGTACTAAGTGAGTTTTGTTCTTCTCTTCCAGTGAGTGAGGAAGGCGAGAATTGGAGTGGCGAGACTGTTGCGATCTGTGTGTGGAGTGTAACGATTCGGGAGTGTGAAGTATCCGTTTGACATCGGAGATGCCTGGTAAGTTGTCACGGAGAGGATTTTGAATGCTATGTAATGATGAGTTGATTTTTGGACTGGTGTCCGCAATCGCCCCTAACTGAGATATTGGCTAACCTATTTGCTTTTATATTTCAGGTTTGGTTGCGATTGTACTTGTATGAAGCCTGGCACTGCTTTCTTCACATTCTCTGGATCGGATCAGTCGTGCGAGATGAGATGAGATATAGGGTGAGTTGACTATCTTTTCTCGTTACATGATGTTGCATAGTTCACATGATCTAGATGATTCGACGTATATTTCCTGATTACTGTTTGCTAATGAAATGCATGTTGACTGACTGTTTCAGGACTTCGTTTGTGGGGGTGGGAGGTGTGAATTTCTTTACTTGAAGACCTTCGTCATGGCAATGTCGCAGACTCTGAATCATGTAAGTCTCAACTAGGTTTTGATAACTGTTGACGCTATGATGTTCCGTGTTTCACTTGACTTCTGTGATTTGAACCCTTTTCTACTGATATCCTGAATGTAGTCTGTTTTCTATTTCAGGTTGTGATGGCGATGGTGTCGAATCAGTCGTGTGCAGGTGTGTGTTCGTGTGTGTTTCGGGTAAGTGGAGGAAATGATGAGACACCTCTTGAATGACTTGTGAATGATTTGTTATTCTTTTCTGAATTAGTTGGTATTCTTCGTACGAGAGATTGATTGTGGTACTGTTGTGTGTTTTTCTTCAGGTTTGAAGAGTGAATAAATGGTGTTTCCTGTGATTGAAAGCTGTGAGATGCAACGTTGAGTAGTGTGTATTGGATCGTGCAGGAGTTTTGCTACCTCTGGCTGGGTGAGTACTTGTTTGTCTTGTAGATGATGTCATCCAGTTCTGCTATTGATTATTATAATGAAACGAACGATTTTACCCTGATTCGCTTAACCTTGTACTAAGTGAGTTTTGTTCTTCTCTTCCAGTGAGTGAGGAAGGCGAGAATTGGAGTGGCGAGACTGTTGCGATCTGTGTGTGGAGTGTAACGATTCGGGAGTGTGAAGTATCCGTTTGACATCGGAGATGCCTGGTAAGTTGTCACGGAGAGGATTTTGAATGCTATGTAATGATGAGTTGATTTTTGGACTGGTGTCCGCAATCGCCCTTAACTGAGATATTGGCTAACCTATTTGCTTTTATATTTCAGGTTTGGTTGCGATTGTACTTGTTTGAAGCCTGGCACTGCTTTCTTCACATTCTCTGGATCGGATCAGTCGTGCGAGATGAGATGAGATATAGGGTGAGTTGACTATCTTTTCTCGTTACATGATGTTGCATAGTTCACATGATCTAGATGATTCGACGTATATTTCCTGATTACTGTTTGCTAATGAAATGCATGTTGACTGACTGTTTCAGGACTTCGTTTGTGGGGGTGGTAGGTGTGAATTTCTTTACTTGAAGACCTTCGTCATGGCAATGTCGCAGACTCTGAATCATGTAAGTCTCAACTAGGTTTTGATAACTGTTGACGCTATGATGTTCCGTGTTTCACTTGACTTCGTT